AAAACCTGTAGCCACACGGGTGAGCAGATATGCACAGAAATCCCAGCTGTGGTACCGTTTTTGGTGGTCTCTGTTCTGTGCACCAGAGCCCGTGCGAAGCCAAGCAGTGTTTCTGGAGGCTTGGGCTTCCATGGGCCCAGCTCTGCATCTGCAGAACCCTGGAGGGCGCGTGTGTGACTCCAGGTCGTCCTTGTCTATAGATGCGGGACTGGCGGGATCAGCTTAGAGATGAGCCTGAATATTTCAGGTTTGAATTCTCTCCAGCTCAGCCACACTGCATTTTCTATCCAAACTGCTGAGCATGAGGGCTGGGGCTGGGACCCACGTGTTCGTTTTATTATCTTCCGTTCCATGCCAGGCGTTGTGGCACCTCCTGGTCTGAAGCAGTAACCTAGTTTTGGCTCCATCCAATGAAACCCTACTTCAGAATTGTTACTGCGTGCTGGAGCCTGCGTAAGCTCCCTGAAAAAGTCGGTTAACAATTGGCTGTGTTCTGCAGGCAGTTTTGAGGTCAGTGTCCTCCTCTGATCATCTCCGCCCAGATGGAGCTCGGCAGTGCTCTCCGCAGTATGGCCCTGGACCTAGCCACCATTTGTACCCTCCTTAGCATCACTGTCTCCCTGAAGGAAAGCAAGTTTACACCGCAGCTTGGCTGCGTTCCCATGTAAATTCCTCTTTATCCGCAGTTCAGAAAATATTCCCTTGTTATACCTAATGAAGACTTCAGAACTCTGTGGAGATTGGATTGAGAAGTTCGTCCTAGTCAAGTAGAAGATTTAAAACCAACATTTAAAATTAATGCATCCTACTTAGTGTCTTCACATGGTTTGTGCAGGCTGTTATTGTCCAGATGCTCTGGAAGTCAGATGTGCTACTGCCTGTGGACTTCTAGCATGATCAACCTTTTCGTTTTGTTTTTTTTTTTTCTTTTTCATTTTTAGGACCAGGAAGAAAACAAGGGAGCTACAAGTTGGCCTGAATTCTACATTGATCAGCTCAATTCCATGGCTGCTGTAGGTATACTTTATATTCTGTGACACACTCTTTATAAAGTCTAGCACAAAGTACACAGTTACGCAGTAAATCCAACTGAGTAAGACCTACCAGGTACCTTTCCAAACTCCCATCCTGAAAACTCAGTGTTGGAAGGGAGTCAGGAGACAGAAGTGTTACTTGGCAAGATGATTTTTCTAGTATGTTTTTAAATAAAATCTACACGTACTAAAATATAATTGAGGGGTAGGGGAAAAGAAAAAATACGAGAAAAGGGAGGGGTTGAAGGAAGGGCAAGGGAAAAAATAAGAACCAAGATATATCATGTAAAGGAACAAATTCCACATGATGAATGTCATCCTGTTATATACCTAAAACGTACCAATAATCTTAATGAATAAATATAACCTGAAATCTGGCCTGCATTCAACCTACAAATGCTCTGAGTGATCATGGGGAGCTTCGCAATGCTATTGTAAAAGTTGATATTATTTAAAATAGTATGATTACTATTCCTTCATTATACTCCTCCCATTCCCTTCTTACTGGGAACTTGGCTTCTTGATTTTACAGGGGACCAAGATACCCTTTTCTCCTCAAATAAATAAGGAATCCATGGAGTAAGTGGTTTAAGGAAAAGGCACAATAATAGTGCAGAGCTGTCCTCAGAAAGCTGCGGTACATGGACTTTTGGTTCAGTTATTGCTTAAAATGCGTTCTCAAAGAAAAAAAAATGCATTCTCAGTGTCTACAGTCTCGAGTTCTGATGCCAGGGGTGTCTCGGCTGTGAGGTCAGCATTCCAGGATTCATGAGGGGCATCTACTGACCACAGCTGAAATTCACAGCAGAAGATGAGTTTTTAACCTTTAATACTTAGCACCTTAAATGCTGTTACTGTTGATCAGAGTTGGAGGCCACCCACAGTATTGCAACAGTGGGCCCACTCACGATTTTAAGAGCCAGTCTGTTGTGCTCAACTTTGCATTTATAATATCCAGCTAGACATATTCCATGATATTTTCTCCATCTTTTGTTTTCTTTCCCCTGAGTCCTGTGGAGAATGAATTTCTTGTCACTTAAATAAAACATTTTAAATTATCTAATAAATTATCTAATAATTTGCTGCTGCTGAAAAAGTTAAAAATTATTAGAATACGTGGATCATTCACACTTCTGCTAAACTTCGAGGGGCCTTGATTTTTAATAATTTGATGACTTTTTCTTTGAACATGCTTCTGTTATACAGTGATAGGGCTGTATAAATTATAGGAGAAGCTACATAAGTTTCTCCTCGAGTTTCTAATCTAAAAGCAGTGAAGGACAAAAAATAATGATCAAATCCTTCCATTTGATACATCGCGCACAATGCCGAACATGAGAAAAGGGTGAGCTAAGCATTTGCACGAATATGTTCAGAGTATGAGATCTGTGATGACCGCAGGGATTTTCTATGCATCCACGCAAGCGGTAATGACTTGGAGCCGTTTAACATTTCTTGCATGTTAAGGCTATCTTGTAAATTCTTGTTCCCATTAGGAAAAAAGAAGTCAAGCAGAGACTGTCTCTCTGTAATTAAGTCAGCATTTTTTGATGTCTAAAAGAGAAATCCTTTTTTGTTAATGAATTCCTTGTTATAAATGGAGTACTTACTGAGTAATACAGACCTGTTTTCAAATATTGGGACAGCTCTGTTAAATTGTTTTGTTTTTGTTTTTTTTTCCTTTGGTTTTTTTGACACAGGGTCTCACTGTGTAGTTGAAGCTGACCTGGAACTCACTATGTAGCCCAAGCTGGTCTCGAACTCACAGTGATCTCCTGCTTCAGCCTCCCGAGTGCTGGGATTACAGGCGTGCACCACCACGCCTGGCTAGCTCTGTTTATTTGGCCCACAGTGTCTTGATACCTGCCTGATCTGTAGTAGCCCTGGCTCATTCCTGAGGCACAAGGTCTGTAATGTGCCAGGCCCTTCTTCTGAGTCTCCCTTCTCCTCCTTCCAGCTCTTTGGTCAACTATTTGCTGTATTCCTTTTTTTTTTTTTTTTTTTTTTTTT